GCTCCTCGTGCCAAGACCCGGAGTCCTCCTCCCGCCCCATCCCGAAGCAGCTGCTGCAGAAATACGCCTACCTGGCGCCCTTCTGTCCCCCCGTGCAGCGCTACTGTCCCCCTGTCCCCTACTGTCCCACTGTGCCCTCCTGTTCCCCTGTCCCCTCCTGTCCCCCTGTCCCTTATTGTCCCCCTGTCCCCTCCTGTGCCCCTGTTCCTTTCTGTCCCCCTGTCCCTTATTGTCCCCCTGTCCCTTATTGTCCCCCTGTCCCCTACTGCCCCCAGGTCCCCTCCTGTGCCTCTGTCCCCTACTGTCCCCCTGTCCCCTACTGTCCCCAGTACACCAAGAATGTCTGCAACCTTCCACCGACGTGCTCCAAGTATTGAACAGGATCCAGTCCCGGAGCCACCAGCTCCGACCTCGGCTCGTCTCATCGGCGCTGAAATCCCCGGGTCCCCGCCTTGTGGGATCCTGGTGGGAATGAAATGCTCCCCTAATTAATATCCGTGGTGTTGTCCTTGCTAATTGTTTGTTGTCCTTTCTAATTATTCCGGGTTTTAGTACTTTGTTGGGGATCTTTCTCTGTCTTGTGTTTCTGTTTCAGACTCATCTGGGTGCAGGAAACAATAAATCTGGTGTTTCATGAGACCCTCGCTGCCTTTGAGTTCCTTTATTCTCTTTTACCTTGATTTTTAAAAAAAAAAAATAAAAAAGTTTGAGGTGTTTCCAGTCAAATTTCTTTATATTCCAAAAGTATCCYGATATTTGACAGCCACAATTCCCACGTTCGTTTGGGAATAAATAGGAGGCATGTCAGTAAAAAAAGGGGAAAATGGTCAAAGGTTGGACTTGATGATCTAGGAGGGTTTTTCCAACCTCAGTGATCCCGGGGAATTAAATGGATGAGGAATAAGTAGGTCACGGTTGCCAATGCTCTTTCTCAATACTGTAATAATTTACCCCGAGCTCTATTTCACACCTTGGATATAAATTTTCAAATATTTGAGCTCCTCTGACCCTCTGGAAACACAAGGCCCAAATTCCCGTGAGAGGACCATGAGCAAAGGATCATGAGAACTCTTTCGAGATCCCATTTTCCTGAGCAGGCCCTGAATTTGAAAGATTCAGAGATATTTTTGGGGTGTTTTGGGGAGGCTCTCGAGGAGGTGGAAAGATTTTGGASAACATCAGTGCGATGCTCCAGGACAAAGCCTTGACAAAAGGAGAACTGTCACCCAAACACCCCCTTTGTCACCTGGGAGGCTGCTCAGGGACCCACACCTGAGTCACCAAATGTCCCCGAGGAGTTTCTGCAACCCTYCCTTGCACCACAAAACTCACCACAAGGAATTGGCTGCCTTTAGCCTGGAGAAAAGCTGTGGGATACCTGCACTTTGKGAGATTTTCCCTTCACAGTCAGTGAATTGCTCTAATGGGGAACATTTTCCCAGGTTGAGGAGTTTCATTTTCTTACACTTCAAATTTTGAGTCAAACAGGGTCATAAATCCAGCTTTAGGGCCCAAACTCCCACCAGCAGTGACAAAACACAGCATTTCCTCAACCTTCAGCTCTTCTTCTCTGAATCCTTTGGTGAGGTCAGGTGACAAAAAATATGAGGAATTACTGAAGGAAAGAGAAACCAAGGAATGTGAAAATTCAATATCCTCAGCCCTCGTACAGAGCTCAGCATCGGATATTTTCCTCTGATCTCACGTATCCATAACCTTTGATTCACGTGGAACAACCTGACAGGATYGTCCCTGTCATCCGCCAACTCAAGGGACACGTGAAGAACCAGGAACATTTCATTTCTCACCATTCCCGAGGAGATCCCACCGGATTTTCCAGGCGTTGTGCCATCCCCAGGAACTGCAGCAGTAATCCCATTTCCTCTTGGCACTCAACAACAGGGGAATTAAAACCCTGAGCTGTCACCTGCACCCAGCAGAGAGCAACCCCGGGAGTCAGCGTTTCTGGGACCTTTCTGCCCCTGATGCAATCCCAACCGTCCTTAATTASCACCCATCCCATTAGTGTCAGACTGCAGGAAATGGGAGATTCCAAAATCCCTGCGTGAGGAATCACCGATGGGACGGGACCCGGTGCGTCAAGGAGGGAACACCTAAAAACTGGAGAAGTGCAAACATCTGCGGGATTGAACGCGGAATTAATTAAAGYGTCATCGTGAGGAGGTGCCTCATATCCCAGATAACCCCAGGAGGGTATAAAAGGTCCCTCAAAGCCGTCCTCTGCACTCGCTTGCCTTCGCTTCCAGAAACTTCTCTCTGCAGTTGAAGAGGGTAAGAGCAATTTCACCATTTCTATTCTTGTTGAGACAGGGGAAAGCTCCGTGAGGGGTTTTCATGGATCTTGTGGGAGCTGGGATTTAGGGGAATGGTGGATGGAGGATTTTTTGGGAAAGGRGCAGCCCACGGAGGGATCCTCTGGTGACGCAAACTCCGCTGTTTCGCAGAGAATTGGGGTTTGAGAGAT